GGAAAGACTGACACATCAGTCAGAGATCCTGGATTTGAATCTAGAGGAGACCTTAGGGGCCAGGTGGTAAATAGATCTGTCTCAGAAATGGGAAGGATATATATGTATGTTGTGTTACCTTCCTATTATCTACCCTACCATGCGTTTTAAAAATTGAAAAATGTGCTTGGTGTACAGTGCCTCTCCCACCCCCCAAAATAAGTGGTTTCCCCAGACTATATAGTGAATTTCAGGCCAATGTAAGTTGCTGTCTGATGGGTTTTACTTCCAAGAAAGCTGTTGTGTTCCTTGTTAAAGAGGTATAGGCAAAGCTACCTCTTTTCTTTTGCCCTTTCCCATATCCCCTCCTGCCTGGAGTGCAGAGGTGATGCACCAGCAGTGAAGGCAGAATAAGAAGATAAAAAGAACCCTAGTTCTTCATGGTACTGGGGACCTGCATTAGGCCTTACTCTATATTCCTTGATAAGTGAGAAATTTAGATCCTTTACTTATTTAAACCACCATCTATTGGATTTTTGTTTAAGCAGAGCTAACCGTATCCTAAAACAATATAGGTAGATTTGGCCATTAAATCTTCTGTTTTCCCTTAAATGTATACATTTGTAACAAATTGTGTTACAGAACAATTTATTGTTTATATGTTTTTTCCACCGGAATGTGGACTTTTTGAAGCTGAAGAGATGATTATATATTTACTTTTTGTATTTTCATTTTTGCATGTAATATGTAATGTAATATAGGCACATATATGGCAGAAGAAAAAATATTTTTCTTTCCAATTTGTAATTGGATTCAGGCATTTAGTCATCACCTCTCTTTGGTCTTCCTTGATCTGGCAATTTTCTGTCTTTCTTATTAAGCCTTTTACAATCATATTTTAAAGCAAGTTTTTTGTAGAATATGGTATAAGCATTTTTGATCATGATAATTCACAGAGACTTAGCTCTTCTGGAAGAAAAAAGAAATTTTCTATCTCCTCAAAATTTTGTATCTTAGAACTTTATCTCATTTGACTTCAGCAAACCATCTCAAGGTCTCAACATTTTTTTTCTGATTGTTGCTGTTGTTGTTTACTGACTTAAAGCATCTTGAACAGCATAGTTCTCATTGCACCAGCCTGTCCCATACATCCCTGTCTTCTGCTCACTGAACTCAAGTAGCATTCTCCAGTTGATATAATCACCCAAACACCCACTACAACCACTGTTCTATACAATTTGGAAATTAGCACAGCCACTGTGGTTTCTACATAGTATGTAGTATAAATAAATTTTCCAAGGCCCTCCCTGGTGGCACAGCAGGTTAAAGCACAGCAATGTGAAGCTGCCTGCAGCCACTGCATCATGTCATGAGTTCAATCCCCAACCAGGGATGACCCACAAGGCACAGCAGACCTCTCCTGACCCTCCCACTGCTCCCCTCAGCAGTGTATTTCAGTACATGTGCCTGTCCTGCTACCATTCTGTCTCTGGTGGATCCTCTCACCCCCTACACCTCTGGCCTGTACCCCAGTTCTTGCATGCATAAATAAATAAATCTTTAAAAAATAAAATAAAATAAAGGATTCTATCATAGCCATTAATGAAAATAAAATATCCCTGGAAGATTTACCTTAAAACTAGGTACTTCGCTCTAGCTACAGAATGAAGTAAGTGTGCTGGTGTTTGAGTTTCATTTTAATGATGTTAATTGTCCCCTCTTTTGTTTTGTTTCAGAATTGATTCCAAGGAAAGACCTTCTTATAGAAAATGTGCCATATTGTGACTCACCAATTCAGAAACAGTGAATTTCTAGGATAAAAGCAAGTCTTTGTAATTTTTAATTGTAAAATATATAACTCTGGCAAAAGTCCTTAAATGCAGTTATTTTTCTTTAAAATTGCATATGAAATGAGTGAATTAATATAGTGAAATAAGTGAATTAATATAGTGACATTATTAAATTTTACATTAAAAGAACATTGCAAAGAACAGTAATCCCTAGGATTACTGTAAATAAAGAAAGTCTAATTTTTTTTAATAGTGACCTTTGATCAAACTGTATCATATAGTCTTAATAGAATGCTACTTAGGCTACAGATATACATTATTGTACAAGTGTAATACATGCATTCTCTTTATTTTAAGCAAAGAAGCATAAATGGCTTTTCTTCTTTCGTAATTACCAGCCTGGTGAGATTTGCAGTATCACTGAACAGCTTGGTCTTGTACCATCTATTGTTAGGAACTATAAAATTGTACTTTATACCTTCTTGTTTCTCTCTTATCTGTGAATTTTTACCATTTTGATTTCTCAATAAGCAGTATATTCTCTCCCATTCATGGCCATTTCTAAGCCATGTCTAAGAAGTTATAGCAAACTTTATATAAAGTCAAATAAGAGCTTCTGGAAAAGATAAATCTATTCACTTTTCTTTGATGTTGAAGAAAATTTTGGTTATATCCTTGCTATTTGGGGATACTAAGTGTTTTTACAATATTTCCTCCCATGTGAAGTGAATAAGATTAAATTTATATTTTGTTCCCAAAATATTAAATTGGTTAGATACCAATATATGCCAATTTTCCAATGAAGGAAGTCTTTGTTTCCTAAAGCTATGAAAGTATTTCAGTAGCTAGTAAATAATTATGCAGTTTCCTTTTAGAGATAGGAAGTATCTCTGTGTTCCTATAAAGCCACTTTTAAATCAGTCTTCTGAAGATAAATGATTATCAAAATTCCCCTGTGAATAAAGAAAGTCTAATTTTTTTTTTTTAAATAGTGACCTTTGATCAAACTGTATCATATAGTCTTAATAAAATGCTACTTAGACTACAGGTATACATTATTGTACAAATGTAATATATGCATTCTCTTTATTTTAAACAAAGAAGCGTAAATGGCTTTTCTTCTTTCGTAATTACCAGCCTGGTGAGATTTGCAGTATCACTAAACAGCTTGGTCTTGTACCATCTATTGTTAGGAACTATAAAATTGTACTTTATACCTTCTTGTTTCTCTCTTATCTGTGAATCTTTACCATTTTGATTTCTCAGTAAGCATTATATTGTCTCCCATTCATTGATCTGTTCTACCATTAGATGATGACATAGAATTTATAATTTTTACAATACTATAAATGCAAGCTTTGTTTGGAAAGCTTTCTTCATATATTCAAACTGGTAATAAATAATGTCCTTTAAAGCTAATTTAGGGCCCTCCCTGGTGGGACAGTGGGTTAAAGCGCAGCACTGTAAGCTAGCCGCAGTCTCTTCGGTGCGAGTTTGATCCCCAGTCCCCAGAGGTGATGTGGTGCGGCAGACCTCTCCTGACCTGCCCGCTGCTCCCCTCAGCAGTGTACTTCATCAGTCTGCCTGTTCTGCTCCCTACGCAGTCTCTGGTAAATCCTCTCACTGCCCCTGTACCTCTGTCCTGTACCCCAGTTCTGTATACATAAATAGATAAATCTTTAAAAAAAAAAAGAGAGAAAAGAAAAAGGTGAACTATATTTTTAAATATCAAAGAACCAAAACCTAACTTTAATAATAATATAAGAGCCTTCTTGGTGGCACAGAAGTTAAGCCCTCAGCACTATCAAGTTATTACCAGCCACTGCAGCATGATATATCAGACATTCATGAACCTAATTCTCACTGTTGACAGGTGTTACATTTTG